TCTCTTTTTTTTTTACCTTTGTCTTAATATATTTTATTTTTTCCCAATTATATCTTAAAACAATTTTTTAACATTTGTTTTTCTTTTTAAGTTTAGAGTTTCAAATTCTACCCCTCCCTCCCCAAGATGGTAAGCATTTATAAAACCTCTTAACAGGTGTGTTAAAGCTACATGTTTAATTATATAAGCACTAAATTCCTATCTGAGGCATCTTAACAAATTTCTCCTGCTAGACAAAATTCTTCTGAAAGTTTAACCCTGTCTCTCCTTCTCCTACCTCCACCCAAAAAGATATATTTCTTCTCTTTTTCCTGGGATTGGTCATTGCTAGAAAGTATGCCAATGACTTTTCCTAGCCTGAGAGTTCATTCAGAAGATCAGGCAGGTCCTTAGAAGGACCAAATAAAGAAATCTACATTTTCCAATAACATTTTGTAGTAACTTCTTTCTGTTCATGAAATTACCTATTTGAGCACCACTTGTCCAGATTGGCCTTACTGTGGGCAGTACTGGCCCTAGTGGTGGGCCTCCTATTGTGATCTGATCATGCTAAAAGGTTGTTCTCTTTTAAAAATACCATTCCTCTATAGTCTAGGGCAGGGCTTCTTAAACTTTTTCTACTCTTGACCCCTTCAGCACTTCTTAAACTGTGAGTCTCGACCCCAATGTGGGCACCTGAAACGATCATTTTCAGATCCTTCCTTGGATTAAGGTTCCCCACCCTCCTCCCTCACCCCCTAATCCCCCACCCCCATCCCGAAGGCCCCTATTAAAATGCAAAAATATTCCATAATAATGCATTATCACTAACAGCCAGTAATGCTTCATAACATGAGTTTAATTGCTCACTAGATATACTAGGGATCTGAGGGATAGGACACAGGAAAAATAAGTTTTGATTGGAGTCAGGAATCACAAAGGATTTAGGAAACTAATTCTCTGCTTCTTAAACCTCTCTCCCTTTCCCTCCCTCCCCTACCAGTTATTTGGGGTAGTAGTAGGGAAATATATTGTAGAACTTAAACAATTTTGCATAGGAAGTAGCATTATTAATTTTTTTCTCTTCCCCATGATCAGATATCATTAATTCTTTTTTTTTATGAATCAATTAGGATTAAGTGACTTGCCCAGGGTCACTCAGCTAGTAAATGTCAAGTGTTTGAGGTCGGATTTGAACTCAGAGATATCATTAGCTCTTGTTCATTCTTCTGACCTTTGTTCAGAATAACTTCACCTGGAAGTCCTGGTACCATGAATTTAGAGCTTAAAGAGACCTAGAGGTCAACTAGTCCCACCTCTGAGACCCAGAGAGTGGCTTTCCTAAGGTAGGAAGTGATAGGATTTAAACCCATGTCCTCTGACTTCAAATCCAGCCCCCTTTCTACTATACCATACTGCCTCCCCAGTCCCTTTCATGCCTAACATTTGAAGAGTTGAATAGTTACCCAGGAACAGAGTTTTACTGTTGGAAGGAATCTTAGAGTCAACTAGTATGACCCATCCATTTTACATATGAGGAAACAGGAAAAAGACCTGGTCATGGTCACACAGGCAGATCGAAAGGGCATGGGTCACTTTCTAAAAAATTCTTCAGAGAATTTCAAGGTGGTGAAAAGCCTTTCCTGGCTTGGACTCTTCCCCCATGCCACTATCTCCTCCCCTCCCTACCTCCCCCCCAAAAAACTGCATTGGGACAGAGCTGTCCATTAGGCACAGTGAATACTGGGACTGAAGAAAGAAACATTTATCCAGCTAACCAGAAGCATCAAGTGAAAATTCCTCACTTGTTTAAACATTCTGAAAATAATTTCTGCCACTTTATTTTCCTTGTAACTAAGGCTGTATTGACCATTGGTCTTTGTTGGGGGACGGAGGGGAGGAGGGTCTAGCCCCCAACTAGGGAGACATCTTTTGACAGTGAATTCTACTGAGTAATGTAGCTAACGAAGTCCTTCTCAGGGGTTAAAGTACCTCTAATTCCACAAGTATTCAGGGGGGAAAAGCAAATATAGTATTAACTGTGGACTTTTCCTATGATTTATTTTGTTTCATTTATTTTAAGGAATGGTTAATTAGACAGGTTATAGTTTATATGGCAAGGTATATTAAGGGGGAAAAAAATCATACCACAGAACACCGAATAGACTTATGTCAAAGGAAAAGAGTGATTCTATATTGCCACAGAAAGAAAATCAATTTTAAACCTTAGTGGTTTGTTGTCTGTGTGCACCTTTGTCTTCAAAGACATGTGTAACTTTCACTAAGCTTTTATGATCCTTAACCCACTGTCACTAATGAGAATATGGCTGACTACATCTCCCCCACCTAGTTCTAGGGGTGCCCCTGAGCTATTTGGGGGAGTATTTTTCTCTAATGCCATTGACTCAAGCCCTCTCCCAAATAGTAATTTCCAATTACCATTAGCATATCCTTTCTGTCATCAATATCTTTCTGTGATTGGTGCCACAGTATCCTTTAACCAGTTAACTTCAATTACTCTTTTCAAAGGGATAGTTAGTGAGAAAGATGTAGCAGGAACAGAAGTCTGTTCTCCTCAACGTCCAGAGGTCTGCTCTTTCCTAGTCTATCCCAGTTCCTAGGGAGAGTGGGCTCAAATTTCAAGTAGTTTTTATATAGCCTTTGCCCCACTTTAAAAATGGCACAGGGAATGGATGAATGGCTACTTTTCCCTCCTGGTTGCCTTTGAGCGCTGGTAGGTTGGGTTCAGTCGATCTCTTAGGACTCAGCCCCTCACAGGGCTTGCTGTGTGAAACATCTGGCATCAACGTCATCTCTCAGGGTCACTGGCAGATTGTACCTCTGACCTTTTCATGTTCACAAGGTCAGAACCTCATCTGACACTCTTCTACCTGTAAGCCAGAAAGAATAGACACAACAGAAGTGACTGCTGGCAGTGAGCCAAGCAGCCGCAGAGACTTAATGCTCCTCTCTCCAATGGGGCCAGTCAGGAAAGAGGAAAAGCCTTGACCCCTCAGTACCTTTCCTGGTTCAGGCTCAGCAGTCAACCACAAGCCTCTTCTGCACATGGTAACGAGACTGCACGTGGTCAAGTCTCAGTGGGGTTGGCATCAGGCAGAGCATGCCCCCTGTGCTCAGGACTGCGCTATCATTGGCCACATCCAGTGGCTCATATATTACTGGGCCTTTGAATCGAACCACATAGCAATGCTTTTTAGTTGGTGAGAACCTCAGGGCTAACTTGCCACCAGGAAGGGAGGGAGCATCTTGTCTTTTCTTCCTATTGGTGTCCTAGTTGAGTGGGGGTTTTGGTGTCCCAGCAGGGCAATGGGAAACAGGAGCGAGCACTTCAGTCTGGTATCACCTTTTTGAAGATAGATTCCACCCCACTCTGAAGCTCTGTAAATGAGTAAAGAGCTTTGAAAGCTGAGTACGGACATGTCATGGGGACACCAATTTTTTGATAGCCTTTGTCCACAGAACAGGCCATTTTACAACTCTCAATCCAACAGGCATTTATCAAGCACCTGGACTGTGTGCCAGGCCAGGGAGGCTTTGCCTTTATTTTTGTGTGAAGCATCTTAATGTGGTTTCCCAAAATAGAATACTAGTAAAAAAAAAAGAAGCAATTTATAGTAAACAAGTGCTTACTATCTGTGTTTAGAGAGGAGATATAATGGAAATATCCAGGAAATAGCCTGGAAACTCTGAACTGGAAGCTCTGGAAATCCATTGTTGTTGATTCTGCCCACTGCCACTACTCAGAAAGTTTAAGAAAATTAAATTCTCTTTAGAATTGGATTTTGGCCTTGTCCCTCTGTCTTCCAGAGAGAATCAGCAGTTCCCATACTTCTGCAGCCTTGCTAGAGTAGTAGCATTAGTAGTAGTAATAATAATAATGTTTATTATAATGCTTTAAGGTTTATGATGCATTTTACATAGCTTCTGATCTTCACAACAACCCCATTGAGGTAGGTGCTATTATCATCACTCTTTTACAGATGAGGAAACTGAGGCTGATAGAGGTTAAGTGACTTGCCCAGGGTCACACAATTAGTAAGTTTCTGAGGCAGGATTTGAACTAAGGTCTTCCTGACTCCAAGTCCAACACTCTAGCCGCTCTATACCACTTAGCTCTAAAGTACAAGGACATATTTTATTACACAATATGAAAAAAACTATGGCTCCAAATTGTTCACAGATAAATGAGTTACAGAGATAACGGATTAATGATTATCTGTTTTCTTGGTTTCACTTTTCTTCTCTTTTTCTCTCCCTCCTCTTAAGGAAACTGTCCTATTTTATCCAATACCAGATAAGCTACAAGTTCAGGTCAAACTGATGTTCTTTAAGCACTCATATGGATTATCCAACCTTCTTTGATACTTTCGCGTGGAATATTTTAAACAAATTTGTTTTGGGCATCTTTCTCAGGTCAGCCCTTCCCAAGCTGCTCTTTTCTCTAAGTCTTTCCTGGGTAAAGGTAAAAGTAATCCTTACCTTCTCTGCTATTCCAAAATATTTTCCAGGTTTTATATCCCACTCTCGCCAATGCCCCAAATACTTCTAAGGAATATGAGTTTACATTTGAGCAGTGACAATAATTATATAACATAGCTTTCATCTGTACTCAAAAGGCTCATAACAACATTATACATATCCTGGGACAATGGGGAAATCAGAACACAGGAAAAAAAATAAAACCAAAGATCTGTGGAGCATATTATGGTAGAGCTTATTAATTAACTTACTTTAGGTGAAAGCGAAAAGCCATCATCTTAGCAAGTCATTTTTATAGATGTTTGTTTGTTTGTATGTGTGTTTTAACATGGGACAAACCACCATCCTTCAATTTCACTATGACAGTGAATGAAAAGCACTTCTGGGGCAGAAAATTAATCACTGAAGAAGACCCTGGGCTGCTTTGGGAATCTGCAAGGTTGTCATGTCATTTGCTCTATTGTTTCCCAGATGGCAAAATAGTGACTTATGGGTTTTTTCCCCTCTCCCTCTTTCTTTAGAGAAGAGTTTGCCTTGATCCCTTGAGAAGGTGGAGAACGATGGTGTGCAGCTTCATCACAATTTGAAGATCAAAGATTGAAGTAAGTGGGGATAGGGGACCATTGTGGGTAACCGTTCTGTGGCTAATGCTTGACTCACCTTGTCTGTATCCAGAGAAATTGTTAGGTCTCCCTGTAAACTATTAGAAACTATTTCTGAAAGGTATCAGTGCCCTAGGTAAAATAACAATGATAGTTCACGTTTCTATGGGGCTTTAAGATTACCCAAGTGCTTTTCTTAATAGAAAACCCTGTTTGACAGATATTACAGACATTATCTCTTATTACGTAAGAAAAGGGAGGTTTAGGTAGTGACTTTACACAGGTGGTAGGGAGATGACTCACTAGTCAGGTGATTACTATTTTTGGGGGGAGGATGAGGGGAATCAATTGGAGTTAGGTGACTTGCCCAGAATCACACAGCTAGTAAGTGTCTGAGTCCGGATTTGAACTCAGGTCCTCCTGACTTCAGGACCCATGCTACCGAGCTGCCCCTCAGATGATTTCTAGTTAAGCACTCTTTCTATTATGCTGAGCTTTTTCTAGAAACTTTGTCATCTTAAGGCAAGAGAGTAGATCGGCGATTTGGGATGAATACCTGAACAATTTCTTATATGTCCCTGTGTTGTTCCCTGACACCATTTTCTCTAGATGCACTTGGTCCAGGGAAAAGCGCAGAGGACTAAGGTTCAACCAGCGCCTACCTTTGACACTTGCTGTGTGTGGTGTGTGTGACCTTGGGAAAGCGACTTAACCTCTTGGGGCCTCACTTTTCACATATGTAAAAGGAAGGAGGTCTCTGAAGTCCCTCCCAGTTCTGGAGCTGTCAGCCCTGTGAAATGTACAGCTCGGCTAAGTTGTGGGTATGGGGGTTTGTATCTTCTAGAGCCCAGAGCTTTTAAGGCATTGGAGCAATAGATTGAAGTCAAAAACAGAAATCCCCATTGTGGATTTTTGGATCTATTATCTAAGACTCTGGGGACTCTCAATTCAATTGGCTCTCTTGGTATACCCTTGAATGACTCAAATCCACAGTAAAGTTGTAGACATCCCAACCTTGGAGCTGTCCTGGGTCTAAACTGCCTCTGTTGGAACCAGATGATAGGGACTTCCTCCTTCACCCATGATACCCCTCACCCAGTATATGTGACATAATTGGGTTGCAAAATAGTTCTGGGTAGCCTAACCTCAGGGCAGGTCTTTCCAGCATGGCTACGAGAGGAGAATCATCATCACTTGCTTCATTTTCAGCAACTGCAAATTCACGTGGACTGGGAGATAATTTTGAGGTCGTAGAAAGAGGGAGACTCATTGGAGGCATGCTTACAAAGTTTATGTTGAATTGTTTGTGCATTGAGACCAGATTATGGGCGCACCTCCTGCCTTTAGACAAGACATGTTCTTAAAGCAGATCCCTCAGAGGCCAAATTGTAGCTTCCCGTGTTCTATCTGGCTTCACATGTTTTTAGCATCTGCTCTGGTGCTGGTGAAGACACTCATTGAGCAGGTAAAGGCAGGGCAAGGTGAAGTGCAAGCCGTTAGACAGCGTGGACATGGTGATAGTCGCAGTGAGGTTGCCTATATTGACCAGAGAGGCAAACCAAGGGGCAGTTAGGTGGCGCAGTGGATAGAGTACTGGCCCTGAAGTCAGGAGGACCTGAGTTCAAATCCAGGCTCAGACCAGGCACTTGACACTTACTAGCTGTGTGACCCTGGGCAAGTCACTTAACCCCAATTGCCTAAAAAAAAAACAACAAAAAACAACAACAACAACAAAAACAGAGAAGCAAACCAAGCCGCAGAAATTTATATTTCTCCCAGAAACATCTTGGTGCCTACTTGTGGAGCAGAGGTAATTTGGCTGGGGTCATTACATATTTGCCTAATGAGTTCTCTTGATTTATATAGTCTTAAAGCATATATTTTTAAAATTAGTGATCAATTAGTTATCAATTAGTGACCCAGCCTCCCCTTAAACACGTTGGAAGAAGACTCTCTCCAAAGCCTGTTTTGCTTCTCCGTGCAAACCTCCTGTTTGAACCCAGGACCAAGCAGAGCTCACTCACGATGACTTTGAGCAGCACAGTGAGGTGTTGTTAGATTTCTTCCCATTTCTCCTGTACAAGATCTTTATACTAATTTTTACCCCTTTTATTGAGCAAAATGCTATATGCAAGGATGCTTCTAGGAGGCTTCTCTTGACTCTTTATGTGAAGCCTACACACTCGGAATATCCAGTGCTCTCTTTTGTGCTCGGCACGAAATCAGAAGGCTTCTTTGTTTTTCAAGCCCTGGTAGAGGCCCTTTGTAGGTTTTATTTTTGGGGCATGGGGCTTGGGAGGGCTTTTTTGGCATTATATTTATCAGGGCATTACTCCTCTGTAAGAAGTGTCTGATTAGTCAGCCAGAATGAATTTGATAACTCACTTAGGAGAATATCAAGAAGAAAGTGATGCCAACTAATCCCATTTGGCTAAAAGAGCCCAAACAGTCTCTCTAAGTAAAGAACCAGCCTTCATGGAAGGGCCCCGACTTCCTTTCTACGTGGTGCTTATACAGTTAGGACTCTTCAGGGAACTCTAATTGACTTGATTTATGAGGGTGATTATCACATCAATCTACTCTCTTGGAGTGGTGAAAGTACAAAAGGGCGCTTGGACCTGGGAGGTTGTATTTCTGGGTTCCAAAGGATAGGAAGTGGTTAACAGGAGCTTGTCAGTCTGTTCTGCTCAAGATGCAGCCCCTGAGAAAAGCCTACATTCCTGGGTCACTGATCATGTCTGGAGATGGACAAGGTAGGCTTAAGTGTTCCTCTGGCCATCTCCAAGAAATGCACTTCCTTGGGCAGGCTTGAGCTTTTCACTGAACTCGGGGACATGTTGTTGATTCCTTTTCTCTGCCCGGGGCAGATCTGTGCAAATTGCTTTACAGTTCTCAAAGACTTGGTGTTTATCTTGTGATCCCGCCAGGCCTCCAACATGTCACAAACCTCAGGCCTGAACTCTGCTGGTCTGTTTGATCCAATGAATGTGGGTGACACAGGGAGAGACTGATTTAGAAAACTTAAGGGGGGTGTGGGGCACGCCAAATGTGAAATTGATGTTTGTTGGGCAGCCGAGGCTAATCCTGTGATCAAACACCCCTTGAAATTTGGTACAGTAGGTGAGATGCAGAGCCAAAGTTGGAAGAAGACAGGTAAAAAACTTGCTGTTGCTTCTAAAATAACTCCAGCTAGTAAACTTTAGAGAGAGAAGTATTTCATGATAAAGGCCCACGGAATGATAGGGGTAGTTGGCGTCTCTGTTCTGGTCTTGGTCCTGTAATTGAGCTGAGCCGTTCGCTTCTGCATAAGACAATAAATCAGCAAAAGAAGGACTGCATCAGGGGTTGCTTTATCCTAGCATGACCAAACACTCATTTTTGTTTTTCTTGGCCCCGGCACTTCAAATATAGATGGCATCAATTGGATTCCAAGTAAAAATATTAATACTTATTACTCCACCAGTGCCAGTAAATAGAAAGCACTTTGCTTTGTAGATGGGGGTGGGGGGGGGAATCTTCTTTTTTTATTTAGGGTGTGGTTTAAGAGTTGTTCATCTTCTTTCAAGTGGAATTCATTGTAGAGTGAGAGAGAAAGACTTTAGAAGCATATAACGATACTTCTCTTTCCCCTTCACTCTCAATCCTGCATTTTGGCCATAATTGGGTAGCAAAATCATCCTAGGTAGCCTAGCAGGAGATGTAGGAGATTTGGTTGAACAACTACCTTCCTGGGCCTCAGTTTCCTCATCTGTAGAGAGAGTGTTGGACTGGATGGCCACTGAGACCCTTTCCAGCTCGGTCTAGACCTATGATCCTATAGTTCTAGGAATTTGGGCGATTTTTCTTTTAGAGTTCACATTTATTTGGATACTCTTCTTAATTTTTTTTTTTGCCGGGTTTAAGACTTTTTGAGCATTCTTTGGCCCTGGGAGAGAGTTGTATAACCATAAAACTTGAGAATCCTGGCCATAGAAGAAATGTTCCTTTAAAAACCCCAAGGACAGAAAATTGAATGCAGCTGTGCTCAAGAATTATGAAGCCGAGTGATAGTTGAGTTTGGGGAGTGCCATGTGCAGCTTTCCCAGCCCACTCATACTGTGGTCCCTTGGAGATGGGAGAAAAGAGGGTTTTGTTGTTGTTGGGGTTTTTTTTTTCCCAAGGTTGGAAGAAGAATCAGAAATCTGACTTCCTGCATACTTCTGGGATGTGGTTTTTTAAAAAGGCAGGGAGGCAGAGCGGGGACTTCTTTGTGCTAATTGTTGTCCATCTTCTTTCGGGCTCCTAGTGGCCTGGCTCTTCTTCACATGGTGCCCTGGATCTTGAATGCCATTCCTTGAGGATGGCCATACCTCTGTAGGCCTTAGTGTTGTTCACAAGACTCGAAGATTAAATAGTTTAGAAATCACGACATCGGAACTAGAAGGGACCTCACCAGGCTTCTGGTGCAACCTTCTCATTTTCTTAATTAGATGACTAAGAGGACGAGAGGTGAAGGGACTTCCCAAGACCGCATGGACAACTGGGTAGAGGTTAGCCGGAGAGTCTGAGCCCCTGGTAAGGATGACACACACAGATTATGCTTTGGGAAAGGAAGGGGGAAAGGGGAAAGCACCTACTGTATACCAGGCACTGCTAAGTGCTTTACAAATATTATCTCATTTGTCCTTTGCTGTGGCATCATTCTTCTAAAGGTGACCCTTAAAAAAAAAAACAATGGGTGCATTGGCCCTGTTCACCCTCTCCTTTGGTAAAAATGAAGTAACTATTTTTCTGTTATTAGCTGAGTGGACGTTGTTAGGCTTCTATTGAAAGGCCTGCTTTTAATCACATTGCTCTGTTAGACCTTGAAATGATGATTCATGTTTCTTCCTGCCCAGGATTAGATTACTGTAATTGTTACATGCTAGACACCCACTGGGGATCTGCATCATTGCTTGTTGGTATAGAAAGTGGTATTAGTTTTCTGGTGAGAAAAGACTGAATCTGCCCATTTTAAAATCCTCAGCCAACACCAAAAATATTGATGAAGGACCTGCTTTTGTTCTCAACCATCAGATACGTTCTGAAAGGGGACCATATGCTTTCTTCAGAGCTTGCAATATACATGAGTAAACAATAATGACTAAGTGATAACACTAATAAGTTTACCTATGCATGTGGTCCTTGTATCTTCATAACTGCCCACAAATATGTTTGTTATTGAATTAAGAGGAAGATGTCTTTTGACGGGGAAGATTAGGATGTGGAGATCAAACTCTACTTAAGCTTCACAGGGGAAATGAATTTTAAATAATGGATGATACATTAGGTTATGCCAAGCATATGGTAAGGCCTACACAGAGGGGCCAAGGAATAAGAAATTAATCACCACAGACAAGGAGCAGTGAGAAAGTATGAAGAACAAATTCTCTTAAAGTGTGTCCATCTTGGTATTTCTCTTAGCAGCCATATTTATTATGGTCCCACTTTTGGAATGGGAGCATAGACTCCGTGTGAACATGAAACCAGGAAGTTAGAAATGTTTGGTAACAGGCATGTAAATGTGTAGATTGGAAATATATTTATCTCTTCTGAACTCCTCCCCTCTTTCACCCTTCAAAGGTGTTACTACTTATGAATGTACTCTGACACCAGATAATGTCCAGGGGTGATTCATACTTTCTAATAAAATACCATTAGATGAGATTAAAAGCTCTGATCATGTTTGTAAAGCCAAACAACCCATGACTTTGGTGGCCTAGAAATTAGTTACTGGCTTGACTGGATACACAGACAGATCTATAGGAGATCGTCTTGTACAGGACATCTAGTAGGGCAACCCCTTCAGGGATTAAAAACTGAGGTTCGGAGAGGCTCAGGGCCTCAACCCTGAGTCTCTTTCTCCACTGTCTGGATGCTGTCTCCAGCCAGGTATTCAACCTCCTCTTCCATACTGTGAAATGTATTAGTTTCCTGCTGTCTCTGAAACCTGCAGATGCCAAGGAAGCAGTCCATTCAGTGCTGACAATTATTAACTTAGATGGAGCTTAGTCATATCTACCATGTGACAGTGGGCGTGGCCACAGGAATTTCCTTTTCTTCTTTGCTGAGGATTTCTTTCCCTCCCTTCTCCCCTCCACTATCACCAGCCTTGTCCTTCCAGTCAACTACCCTCATTCCTTCTCCACTCTGCTCATCCCACTTCGAGTTATCACCTTCTCCCTGCACTAGAGTTATTCTTAAAGCCAGAATGAATGAAGTCAGAGCTAGGTAGCCTTCATCAAGCTGTTGGTAAGATGAGGCCCCTGGACACTGCTGACCCTCATCCCACTGGAATTGCTTCCGGCCACTTGGAGATAATGAAGTCCTAAGTTTTTGTGGTGGGAAGGGGGACCCTCACCTGATAGGAGTAGGAAGAGGGAAAGGTTAAACAGGGTCTGCAATGTCCTTGATGTCACAAAGGGGAGCAGATGTATTTTTCTTCTGGAAACATTGTTGTGGCTTTAGAGTTCAGCTACTTATTTGATTTTATTTTGTCCAGGATCTGTGATGATTCCTTCTGCCACCAGAGTACAATCTCCTCTTTTCCTTAGTAGATGGCTTTATACAATCTAAAGTCCAATCCTCTAAAGATAAGTTTCTGAACTTAGCCAGGCTGGGGCTCGGGTGACAGACATAGTCAATATACTCAAAGCTTCAGAGTTCTGAGACACACATCATAATAGAAACTTAGAGGGAGAACTGGATTTCTTGGTGGATTTTCAGGTTGGCCTGGCCCAGGAACTGAACGATCACTTTAACCCAGTTTCTAGGGGAAGAAAAAAATCTATTCTGAGCCCCACAACAAGGAGATGGGTGCCGTATGGAACACAGCTGATTTAAAGTGGAGGTCATGTCTTGGCTCAGTGTTACAACCTAACGTACTGTTTTGTACTTTCATCTACTGCCATGTTTTGATTTCTTGGTTCATGGAAATAGAGAGAGTACTGTAGTACCAGAGAAAGCAGATTCAGGTTTTTGGGGTTTTTTTCCCCCAAGAGCTAACTCCAAAGTTGCCAGAATTTTGGTTTGGGAATCCTGGATGCTGCCCTTGGCTTCTCTGCTACCCCTTCTGCAAATTCTAAGTTACAGAAAACTGCTCATGGAGACGTGAGCAAGCTCACACACAGAGGAGATTTCAAATGATCTGTCCTGTGCATAGAATATTGATTATACCAAATATATAATATTTTATACTTAAATATTCAGTCTGTAAGAAAGGCCAAGCCCTCTCAATTGGTCCTGTTATGTACTCAATTACCATTTTAGAGAGGAGAATATTCCCATATTATTAGGCCTATCTATATAGCAATCTAAATGGAGCCTGTCACAGCATATACATCTCATATTACTTTCAAGTCTCTGAGACTAGTCTCCTAGAATGTAATGTCAATCCGGCATTGTAAGGTTAGCCTCTCCAGTGCCCGGAATCACAGAATACTGCTCCAAGCATACCCCCGGAAATCCTGTATTTCAGTTGGACGATGAAGCCAAGTTTTGTGTTTCCACCATGCTTTGCTGCATACCCACTTCCATGTAGTAATAGCCTGAGAATGAAGAGTTTGGCCCTCTGATCAGTTGACCAAGCAGTGACCTACAGACCACCGCACAGTTCAACTGAATCTGTTCTTTTTGTAGCTAATAAAATTCTCCTTCACTTTAAAAAAGAAGCCAATTGATAGAGTTGGGAGGTAGGATAGAAAACTTTATATGTTGAAATAATACCTGACTTTTTGCTTAGTCTTCCAAGACACACACACACACACACACACACACACACACACACACACACTCCAAAACTACTTTAGTTGCCTCAGACCTCATCCACGTGACAAGAAGATCATTTCAGACCCATCATTTGGTGGCAGATGCTGGGAAACCCATGCACATGATATTGCCTTCTCTTAAAGGATTCAGAAATCCCAATGAGGAGGGGTATACAGTGAAGTCTATGCAAGCTGACAAGTCCATCTGTGTATAGTTCCCAGTCTTCTTGCATTTTTCTACACTGGAGATGGGAATCTGAAGAAACTCATTCCCCAATTCTTCTCTTTAGCTGCCATCGAGAAGCAGAGCTGTGGGACCAAGAAGGAGTTGAACAGACAACTCTCTTTTTGTCCTCCTTTCCTAACACAGTCATCATCCTCTCTTGCTGCTGCAGAAATAGATGCTTCAGAAGAAGAGAAATTGATCAGTGTCAAGGCAGGTAGAAAAGCAATTTTACTATTATCTTTGCACCTGTTTTTTGGTACATAACAAGAGAACTGCTTCCAGTCTTCACTCTTTCTGTTCCAGGACCAAAAAAAAAAAAAAAAGAAAGAAAGAAAAGAAAAAGAATATTAAAACCTTGAGCCTGGGAAAAGAAGTAAATATGATTCAAATTGAATGAATGAGATATGGGCCTAATGTATACAATTTTGACTCTCTTTTGTCCTTGATGTTCTACCTTATCTCACTTCAACAAACTTGTGAAACAAAGCATGCCTGGTCTCATCTGTTGCATTGCATGACATTCCCCAGAGCTAATCTTTTCTAAAAATAAAGCATCAGCATACGTTAGTTTGACTCTTCAGTGACGGTTGAGAGGGTGTTTGAATCTTGATTTTATGCTATGGAAACCTTGGGAGAGGACTCAAGGGCACTATTAATCAATCAACCAACCAATAAGCCTAGATGAAATTCCTACTATAGGCTAGATCTTCAAAGACAAAAGCAAACCAACTCCTGCCTGCAAGTTCCTTACATTTCATGTGGGAAACCACCTGTATATATACATAAATAAATATCAGGAAATCAGTGGGGGATTAGGGAGATTGGGACTTAATTCCTGAAGGGATCAAGAGAAGCCTCAAGGAGTAGCTGACCCTTGGAACAAGCTTTGAAAGAAGCTAGGAATTCTAAGTGGGAGAAGGGAAGTGGGAACTTAGTCATGGCAAAGGCAAAGAGGTGAGAAATGTTTTGCAATTACACCAGTTTGTTTGGACCATACAGTACTAAACCATTCTTTCTTGTTGTTTTTTTTTATATTTATTGTTTCTTACATTATCATGGTTATCCTGAGTATGCCTTTCCCTCCTAGAGAACCATATCATATAACAAATCATATTTTTAGGGAGGAAAAAAAAAATCAGCACAACTCATTGATACATTGAAAAAGTCTAACAACAATTAGCAGGGCATTTTGATTTACATTTCTCTTATTAGTGATTTGGTGCATACTTTCATGTAGTTATGGATACTTTTCAATTCTTTGGAGAGCTGTTCATATCCTTTGACCATTCATCTATTGGAGAATGGCTATTAGCTTTCTCTCTCTCTCTCTCTCCATACATACATACCATACATATATATATGTATATATATATAATTTATGTGTATATATATAACCTATGTGTAAAATTATATAACTTATGTATAATATATATTTTGTATATTAAAACTTTGTTTTACATATTGAAACTTATTATAAAATTTACATATCTTAGATACCAACCCCTTATCAGAGAATTTTAATACAAATATTTTTTCCTTCACTTCTTTTCTTATCGTAGGTGCATTAATTTTATCTGTATATTAAGCTTATTTTCCCTCAATTACATGTAAAAACATTTTTTAACATTCATTTTTTAAAATTCTCTCATTTCTTCCTTCCCGTTCCCCCTCCTTGTGAAAGCAAGCAATTTGATATAGATTACATATGATTTTGTTGTTGTTCAGTCATGTCCAACTCTTCATGACCTCATATGAGGTTTTTTTGTTGTTGTTGTTTTTTTTTTGTTAGGCAATGGGGTTAAGTGACTTGCTTAGGATCACAAAGCTAGTAAGTGTCAAGTATCTGAGGCTGGATTTGAACTCAGGTCCTCCTGACTCCAGGGCCTGTGCTCTATCCCCTGCGCCACCTAGCTGCCAAGGTTTTCTTGGCAAAGGTAGTGGAGGGGTTTGCCATTTCTTTCTCCAGTTCATTTTACAGATGAGGAAACTTAGGCAAACAGGTCACGTGGCTAGTAAGTGACTGAGGACAGATTTGAACCCAGGAAGATGAGTCTTTCTGACTCCAGGCTCAGGCTCTGCACTCTATCCACTGAGTCACCATGCTGCCCTGATGGTACGTGTGCAGTCATGCAGAACATATTTCTGTATTAGCCATGTTGCACAAGAAAACACAGATCACTCCCTACCCCCCAAATAAAGAAAAATAAAGAAAGTAAAATTAAGTATGCTTTGATCTGTATTCAAACTCCATCAGTTCTTTCTGTGGAGGTGGACAACATTTTTCATCATAAGTCTTTCAGAATTGTCTTAGATCGTTATGTTGCTGAAAATAGCTAAGTCTTTCACAGTTGATTATCCTTACAATACTGCTATTATTGTGTATAGTATTCTCCTGATTCTGCTCATTTCACTTTGCATCAGTTCATGTAAGTCTTTCTAGGTTTTTCTGAAGTCTGTCTGTTCATCATTTCCTATAGAAAATAGTATCCCATCACAATCATATACCACAACTTGTTCAGCCATTTCTCAATTGATGGACATCCCCTCAATTTCCAATTCTTTGCCACCACAAAAAGTGCTGCAATAAATATTTTTGTATCTATGGGCCCTTTTCCTTTTTCTTTGATCTCTTTGGGATATAGATCTATTAGTGGTATTATTGGTGGGTCAAAGGGCATGAACAGTTTTATAGCCTTTTGGGCATGGTTCCAAATCGTGCAGCTAAACTTCTTAAACTCATTGTAGGAACATAGATTTAAAACTGAGAAGCTGTAAAGGCCAAACCTCTCATTTACAGATAAGGCAATTGAAGCTGGGAGAAGTTTAATGACTTGCCAAGGGTCACACAGCTAGTAAGTATATGAAGCAAGGTTTGATTGAACTCAGGACCTCCTGGATCCTTCAAGGAAGTGTGTTGCACTAGTCTTTGCACCCACTTCTATGTCCCCTTTTGGGATGAAACTTCCTAAACTGCAGAATTACTGGCTTCCAATTATTTATTTTCCATATTTATAGTAGCATTACAATGTATGAAGATGCAATTCCCTACTTTTCTTTACAATCTTTAGAGGTTAATTATGTTGATTCTTAAGTCTAGTTCCTCTTCTAAACTTATGGCTCACCTTTCCTATAGTATAAGTAGATCACTCATACTTACCTGCCATGATTAATTTAGAATCTTTCTGGCTTACAATCGCAGGGGAAGAGATTTTTGTAAGAGATCAATGGAAAGTTACAAGAAAGAATAGAAAGGAAAGGGATGAAAAGCAATTGAGGAACAGAAAGGAGGAAGTGACCAAACCCTGTGGAGCTGAGGCAGGTTTATTTCAACACGTATGTATCAAGCACTTAGGATGAGGGGCGATAGTACAGAGACCAGAAGGAAGCAGTTTCTGCCCTCCAGGAGCTTATTGAAGGGGAATAATTTATACATAAATAGGCAAGAAAATACAAAATATGTACACCAGATGCCCACAAAGTAATTTTGGGAGGAAGTCACTCAAAACTTTAGGGATCTCTGACCCTGTTTGATTATCTGTACAATGGAATCTTTGGATAATATAACTTGTAGCACTGATGTGTGCTATTTGCTCATCCTCATCTGTAAAATGGGGATAATACTTGTATTACCTGCCTAACAGGTTTGTTGTGAGGGAAGTGCTTTGTAAATCCTGAAGTACTCTAGAAATATGAGCTAGGAACATATTTATAAGTGTGAGGAGGTGTCGTAACATCCTTAGTATTAATTGAACCTCCCATTCTTGCTTGATGAGACTTTTAATCATTTCTTATTGATTACCTGTCCCATTTTCCACAATGACTGTTCCAGATTTTCTCTATTCCCCAACTCCACTCTATGCTCTCCTCTTTTAGATGATTTTATCCCAGACTTTCCTGAGGAAACTGAGGCTATTTGATGGGAGTTTCTTCATCTCATGTCCTCCACTTCTTAAAGCTTTTCTGCCTTCTTCCATCCTCTCCTTCCTTTTCCCTTTAGTCAATTGACAGAGATGGTCTTCCTACCTACCTAATCTCACCTCTCCACCTGTGCCCTTGTTCTTATCTCTTTCAGGGCATCTTAGAGCTCTCTTTCATTAGCTCCTTCCCCTCTGTTTATAAGCATTTTATGGTCTTGCCTATCCTAATAAAACAACCAAACAGGCAAAAACAAATGAACAAAAATACCAGTAAAAGCAAAAACAAAAACAAAAAAAAAACACCTTCCCTTGTACATTTTATCCCCTCATACTCCTATTTCTCTCTATTTGCCTACTGCTAAATTCCTAGCAAGAGTGATTTAGTCTCCTTGTCAATACCTTGAACAGACTAAGAGTCGGGTCAAGTCAAGCATTTATTAAGTACCTACTATATGGCAGGCACTGTGCTAAGCTCTGGGGCGACAAAGCCAGATAACTGAGATTTGGAGGAAACCTGGGAAGGTAAGAAGTAAAGGTGAGGAGGAAGAGAGTTCTAGGCTTGGAGGACAGCCAATGAAAATTCCTGGAGTTGGGAGATGGAGTGTCTAGTGTGAGGAAGGGCAAAGAGGTCATTTGCACTCTATGACAGAGTTAGGGTTGGGGGTGAGCGGTGATGTCTGGAGCAAGACTAGAAAAGTAGGAAGGGGCCAGGTTATGGATTGCTTTTCTAGCATACAATTGATCTTGCCAAGTGAAGAATCATGGTAGCCAACAGTCAAGAGCAGATTTAAATACAAGCTCATCATTTCTGCCTCTCAAAATCCTTGTCATCCTGGCTTTACACCTCCATGAAACTCTTAGTTTCCTCTTCTGTAAAATGGGGATAATAGCACCTACCTATCAAGAGTTGCTGTGAGGATAAATCTGCCCTCAGACACAAGCTGTATGACTCTAGGCAAGTCACTTAACCTCTGTCTACCTCAGTTTGCTCTCCTATAAAATGATGATAAAATGATGTAATATTTATAAAGTACTTTGCAAACCTTTAAGCACAATATGATTTCTAGCTATTATTAGATATTACCTTTAGTGTTCTTTCTTTCCTTAATTTTCATTCTGTACATATTCTATTTTTGTCTACAAGGAGTTTATAGTCTGCTGGGCCAAAGCATTAAGAGCATGAGATATGTAGAATATCCTTAATGAAAACATGAAAAGGGAATAGACAAACATTTATGAGAATTCATTGTTGAGGCAGTGGCTCAGCTGTATCCAATTTGGGAAATT